CCAGAGCCCCCTCCTGTTCTTACATGGTCACCGTTGCCCTTGCCTTAGAGGACAAGCTGGCAGGGCAAAGGCTGAGGAAGAGATTGCCCAGGAACAAGGCAGTACAACTGCTGCCACTCTGTGAACTGTAGCTTTTGGCCTTGCGGCCTCCGATTTTTTTTTGGTAAGCAAGTCATCTTATTGTGAAATGCATCCTATTATGCTGTGCATGATGGATTGAAAAAGGCTTTACTTGCTGGAAAGGCCGTTGAACAATATAGTTTCCACTTACAAAGCACTTTCCCTAAAAAGCTTCTCAGGGCAGCATCATATAAAAATAGTTATACTAAAGTTGTAAACCAGCTTCTGACAAATCAGGAATAACAAGAGCTAAGGTATAAATAGAAGTGTTTTCTCTTCTCTAGAGGCACAGGATCTCAGTCAGTGCTGGATTGTAAGAAACAAAAATGCCCTTTTCCAGACACACAGAAAAACAAGGACCTTCCAGACTAGTGGCACAGAATATAAATAGGTTTAAAACTGCTTCAGAACCATAAAGCTTAGTCAAAACCATGACATTTGCATTTTAGAATGAGCCACACCATATCAGACAACTTTTTAAATCCAATTCTTTATTTTATTTCATACAAACTAGCATCTCCTGCTTTATAGAAAGGTTAAATAACTTGTATAATTATGGAATGAATTGTCTCCAGGCTCTCAAAGATAAAAGGATTATCTCAAAGTCTGGAGTATATTAGAATTCCTGAAAAACAAATGCTGAAGAATGCAAAATATTATATACTCTGTGTTTATATTTTGTCAGTGGGCAGAAAAAATGCACCTTACTGGTTGTTTTCAAATTCATTATTTTTGTGAAGTAGGTGAGAATTATTTTTCTTATAGCGGACTTTGAAGCAGGTAAATGTAAAGCTACTACTTTCTATTCCAGTGTTTGGACAATCTTGATTTCACTCTGAGTCTGTTCCTTCTGCTCTGCGCCGACCTTCTCTGATTCCACCAAACCCCATGTAGTTTAATCCACAATACCAAAGAAGGAAGGTCTGTTTCTGTAAGCCAAAAATAGTTCTTACTGCAGTTAACCTTGCAGCTGAATCAGTTCTGCTATTGCTCTTTAAGTCATGTTTGACCAGTCATGTCTGCACAGACCAGAAGCAAGGCTGAACAGGGTATCTACATAATCGGTCTGATGCACGATGCTGTTCTCTGTGCAGCAGCTCCTGTATTGAAAACACCCCCTCACAAAACGTTTACTTACCAACATCTGAATTTATTATACCCTTGGGGTCAGTAGTAGCTGAGCTTTAGAGTTACTGACTACTTCAATTATGTATGAGAAGTAAGGATTTCAGTAAAAGTTTACTGGCATCAAATCCTTCTGTATATTCTCCAATCATCCTGTAATTTTCCATCTTGTAAAAAAATGCTAGGAGGCCTTTTTCCATTCTGCATGGAAGTCTGCTGTTCTCCTAGTTTTTTGCTTTGGGAGTTATTTATCATTATTCATTTCCACCAAAAGGGAGATCTACGGCCGTTTCACAACCTCAGAGCATCACCCACAAGCAGAGAGGCACAGTAACATTGCAGGGAGAACTTGCATTCCATTTCACTGTCATACTAAGGCCTGGGTGACAGGCAGTTGTCTTTTTTTTTTTTGCTCCAATAGCCAACAGCGGAGCAATTACTAAAAAAAATCAAAAAGATAGTATTCTGCTCTGTGTTGCTGTCGAGTAATAATTTATGCTATTTGACACCAGATATTCTGAGTATTCCTCATTAAAATATTTGGCCACTTCCATTTCCCAGTGATCACTGTATGAGAGATATTTGATGTAAAAATGACGAATTCTTCCTGCTAGAGCTACAGCAGAAATTCTACTTCTGTCTGTAACAACAGTACCAAAATAGCTTTAATAATTAATCATGCACTGATTAGATTACAAACTCTCAGATGGGCTGGAGATTTTTGTATTATGCATCAGACAAAAGACACTGGCAATGCTTAACTAGCGGTCACCTGCTCTTGCTCCACCTGCCATTGTGGGAGCACTCCGGAAACCAGAAGGGAGACAAAGGCCCAACAGAAATTGATAAAAACCTTCACCTGCCCCTGTTATGCTCAGGAATACAGAACTGTTGAAACAGGTGCTGCTACAGCTGCAGGCCAGGGTGCAGCTTCACTTGTTAACTTGTCATTTGCCAGGCAATGCTCTCCGCTTACCCCAATGGAAGAGAGTATCCAAACCCCAGGCTAAGCAAGTGTTAAGCAGGGAGTTTCCTGACTGGGAACACCAATGCAAACAGCCACTGTGGAAGGGCTGGGCAAGCAGAGGCCAGGCATGGGGTAGGCACCCCTATCCTGCACACACTGCTTTAGGTTCCTTTGCAGTGGTTACACTGCTCTGCCCTGTCAGCTGCTTGTAATGTTACGAACGCATTTCTGTGGAAGTGGCATTGTTTTGCCAGAATATCATATGCAGCTGATTTTAGGGTAAGTAGGAGTTTAAGGCTGAGAACCACTGGTACTCAAAACTGGAAAATTACTTTGTAGCCTTAACTTCCATTAGAAATTTTGCTCAACTGTTTTAACTAAGTTTTTGTCCAGGCCCTTTGCTCTTGTCCCATGACTCTTGGGGCCTATTTATTACAACTACAGAGGCAAAACCTCTCAGGGGAGATAGTCCATATGCTGGTTCTGGAATGAAATAAGATACTTCTAGTGTGTCCAGTGTATTGCTTTTGCTGGTATAAAAGTATGATTAAAAAAAGGGAAATTGGGACTAGTTTTATGGTACTAGGAAGAATTGGTATCAGTCTGGTCTTAGAAACCAAGCCAGTTTTAGGGGAGGAGGGGGAAAGGACACTGTGGACCAAAATGAGCAAATCAAGTTAAAAATGATCATCAATCAAGTTGAATTTTGCCAGTTGTTGGGGTCACTGCATAGCACTGAACATGGCAAAACAACAGTTATTGTTAAAAGGCCACTGGGAGGCAAACAGCTGTCATTCCCTGCTGCCCAGAGCAGAACCAGTGGTATCCGGGCAAGAGGGTCAGAGCCAAGCCAGGGCTGGTTGGTGCCCATGTGGTGCAGGCATGCTCCCTACTCCCTGCCTCCCAAGGGCTCCCAAGGGGCAGGCAAGGCACGGCCTAGAGATGATCCTTAAGAGGACCACAGCTGCCAGAGGTCCAAGGGAATGTCACTGTCCTCCACCCCCATGGTCAATCTCAGCACAGGTGGCAAAGCTTGCCCCAGAAATAAGGGTGGTTTATGTGACAGACACAGCACAGACCTTTGTTAGTGGGACCTTTTTAGTGAACAACAGCTAAGTTCTGGAGGCATCAAAATGTATCATTCTGCAACGGACACCACAGGCCACATGGTTAATTCTTTTCCTCTTTTCTCTGCCCCTTCTACCACTGACCTTTATGAAAAACAGAAGTTAAATGAGAGAAAAATAGCTTTAATGAAACATCCAGGTTGAGAAATCAAAATCAGACACTCCAACAACAGGAAGTTTTGAAAGCAGTGTTTATAACAGCATCTTGCTGAACTGTAGTGCACTTGCTTTTCTTTTTCTTTAAGTTTTAAGCCATATTGTAAATGCACACCTTGACTCGGCAGCTGGGCACAAGGGTAGTATTGTGGCATTAGTTTAACTTTGTAGAATTTCCTAGGCATAGAAAAGTGAATTGAACTCACCCCCTGAACAATGTCCTGACTCCTGCAATCACTGCTGCAACTTCTCTCTTTCCGGTAAAGACATGTGAATTGTTTCCCTGTGCAAATACATTTAATCTTGTTTGTTATTTTATTCTAGGGGGCTGGAGACAGTTTTGTGGGAGCACTGGCCTTCTACCTGGCTTACTATCCCAAGTTATCCATGGAGGAAATGATCAGGAAGTCTAACTGCGTCGCATCAGTAAGCGTCCAGGCATCGGGGACACAATCTTCATATCCTTACAGGAAGGACTTGCCTCAGGACCTTTTCTAATTGATTGTCTAGATCACTGTGCTGATTTTATCTCATACCAGACAGCATTATTCTCCTGATGGCAAGGAGGTTCTCATCTGCTGACTGGAAACGCCAGAAAAGTCTCTTTGCTTCTTATTTCAGGAATCCTGTGTTCCTGTTCTGCACTAGTAAGATGGGGTGAGGGTGGTGGGTCTTTCAGACACAGCACAGCAGGTCTCTCTGGCCCCACACAGCCTTCGGGCCTGTGGCTGTACCACACAATGCACTGTACTGAACTATATGAAGTTTACAGCAAAACACCCAGAGGGTATTGGGCTCCTGGCAGTATTTTTACTGATTTTATCAGAACTCTGAGGGGCAATGGCAGCACATGAAGCAGAGTGTTAGCTTTGAGACTGCAACTCAGTACTCAGCTGCAGACACCAAGGCCAGCATGTGGCTCACAACAAAGCACCATCCATCAAGCCCAGGCATGTCTATGCCCACTCACCTCAGATGCAGCACTGCACCTCCCCACACTCTGGATTGTGGAGGAAGGTCCCTCCAACTGAAGAGAGGACAAGAGTGCTACTGGAGGTAGGCTTTGAAAAATGTTTCTAGCCACACTGCTCTAAACATAGGTAAGCTAATTAAGGAAGAAAAGCTTCCAAAATGATCAGAGAAGTACTCTGTCTGCTTTCTTCATGTTTGCCAAAAACCCAGGAGTGAAAAATCCATCCTACTAACCTGGCTGAAAATAATATAGCCCTTTTAACCGTGGTCCTAGCTTATCCAAAACCTCATCTTACATGACTAGGTTCCCATTGCTTTTTTCCTCAGAAGGAGCCGGTGCAAACATTACCCTTCCAATGAATGACACCAGCTTGTGGTCACTACTGTCACATCTGCGGCTGGTAGGTTAGAAAAACTTGCAATCCTGCCATTGAATTCCTGCTGTGGAAAATGTTAATTTTTATTGCTTTATAAAACAATAGTTCCTTTGAAGATTACAGCCTCTTTCACAATGGAAAACACAGACAATGGGATTTGCTATTTAATTTTTTTTAATTGAGTACTGTAAAAATAACTCAAGATAAATAAATGTTACTGTGATGATCTATGTCCAGACATTAAGAATATTCTCTCTCTACATTGTTTTATTCACAATGGCCTTCAAATCACAGGAGACGGTGATCCCAGTTCATTTCCTCTCTTTTCAGCCCATGTTGCTGGATTTCTGAATCAGCGTTCACCCTGTCCTCCCCCCAGACTATCCTCTCCTCAGGCATAAATCAAGTCCAGTCATTGTTCACATTGAGCGGATTTTTTTCCTCTCTGTGAAGAGGACACGTTGTTTTGCTATAGGGGAAGAAAAAGAATCTGTTAAGAAGCCTGAAGTGTTAAAATTCAATTCAACGAGCCCACGTCCCTTTTCTCCTGGCTGCCTTCACTTCTTAAATGAGTGTGGAGCAACTGACTGGCACAGCACTGTTGTTAACCAACTCCTGAAGGAGTTTAGTAGTGCTTACAACATGTAATTTTTAGTTCCTAAGAGGTCCACTTCTGTGAGAGTAAGTATCAGAATTGGAATCACTGAAAACATTCAACAGCTGCTCTGTGTGACTAGTCTGAGTCACAGCTGCTCCATATAGGGACAAAAATAGGTTCTTACTGCTTTCTACTACTCTTCAGCTCCAGAGCCCAAACAACTACAGTTGATGAGCCGGATATAGCTGATCTCACAGTCTGCCTGAGAAGTTCACCAAGTGTCCTGTGGATCTCTCCACAGGGGCACAAACTGGCCCCGCCCCTAGCACCTGATGCAGATGTTGGCAAAGTCATTTGGCACTTCAGCTACAGGTTAAGCATAGTCAATACATTACTAAAACCCCCAAATTACAAAATAAAGAAAAGCTTTATAGTGTCATTAGAAAAGCACTGTTTGATTCAACTTCATTTTATGAATTCCTTTGAAAGCTATGCAAGAGCAATCCACACAGTAACAAAATCTCTTCTTCCACATAAAAGTTTCATTTTAAGAAATACTGCAGTTTAGTAACACATTCTGTTGCTGCAGATAGGAGGTAGTGAAACTTGGGCACTCCTGCCACTACTTCACTAAAAAGCTTCATTCTGTGGAGGTCCCAGGTTTCTGAGAAGTACAAAACATAAGGTGAAAATGCATGCCAAGTGAAAATGCTTCCTAACATATTCCTGATGTGAGTTGTTATCCAGACTCAAATTTACTTCCCTTCACACATGCAGCACTTTCTCACATCTATTTCTCACTTGTGTTCTACTACAGGCTACAAAGATCAAAGCTTACTTCAGAAACCTACTACATGTTCTGTCTGAGCTCTTCACTTTCCTACAAGTTGCAAAGCTTCTGGAGGATCACTTTGCACAATGCTTCAGTGCAGTAATTTGAATTTTTCTTATTCAAGAAAATAGTCCAAGAGATTTCTGATTTTGCTTTTGTATGGAATTCAAAAGGAAAGCCATAACCTCTGTCAGCTTTGATGAGAGCATATTGCTTCTCTGGTGGTTTCTCTCACCTGTCATAAAATTCCTGTACTATTAATTCTGAGAATGAAAAGGTAGTAATCTAAGAAGCATATACAATTATGAGGAAAAAAAAAGCTTGAACCACATAACTACTAGCTATGCATTATATTATCTACTTGGAGCTGCTTAATAAATTTCTTTAGTTTATAGCTTTAAATAAGCCTTTTTTTGTATTACCTCCACAATGCATGGTCTAAGTTTACCCAAATTAACCTTTTTAACACTAAATTCAGCTTTTTAATGTTAACTACAGAAACTTGAACTCTTAGTCAACTTTTAAAAAGCTGGGTGAGCAAATGGCAGTTTGGCAAGTGCTATAAGACCCCAACAAATCAGATTCTTAAGCTGAGAAAATTTGCGAGGACCAGAGGAATATAAAGGAACCCACTAACTGTCATATGGAGAGCAGCATTGTTTGTGGAGGAGGAAGAAATTGTGTTTACTTCTTTAAAAGAAAAAGTCCATTTTATCAGTGATGGTTCAAATTTATTGTTCAGAGCACCCATGGCAACTTAACAGAATGCTTCTGTTGATGCACACTTCGTGACTGCTTGTTGGAGGTAGCACAGTCTAGCAAACCACACAAAGAAACAGAATGAAAGAACTCCTGTGTCACTTGGCTTTGCCAGTGACATGTGGCATGGCTGTCATCAAAGTCTCTGATGTGTCAGGCAAGTCATTACTTTTGTTTCCCTGCCACAATCTGTAAAATGAGGGTAATGCTTACTTCCCACTGGAATGTCATGAAGAACAGCAAGTGTACAGTCATCTGAGTATGAAACATGTTATGACATAGTCTGCTTAGATGGGAAAAATCCTGTTACATTCAAACCTTTTGCCCCACACAGTCAGAGAAGCTTAGAAAGCACAGACTTCTTTCCCAAGCTCTTACCAATGGGATCGTATCTCAGTAAGACCAGTTTTTCCTGCAGTCGGGGTCTCCTGATGTTGAAACAGTAGCCCGTCTCCGCTGTACTTCTCATCTTCACCAGAACGTATCTAAAGTCACAAGGGAGATCTCTGTGTCAACGCACAGGCACTCAGCTACAGCCTGTACCATATGTCTGCCAGGGCACAGGCAAATGGACAAGGTTTTAGCATAAACAGTTTAGCACAATCACATAACTTCAATGGAAGTTGAAATCCATTTCAACTTCAGGAATGTTCTGGATGGGAGCATCAATACCAAACTTACAACCCAGACAAATGGCCCACTATAAACCATAAGCTCCAGCATCAAGTTTAGGTAAACAACTCCTGAGCAGGATACAAGCCCGGAGAGAAGGAGCTCCTCCACAAAACAGTGTGGCAGGAGGAATAAAAACATGAAAGAAAAAAAGAAATGAGAAAAATCAACATGCAGTTGAGTCATTATGGCTTAAAAGATAATGGCAAGAGAGGAAGGATGATGGTAGCTCAAGATGTTCAGGCTGTAGAGAACACTGTATCAAGACTATCACTTCCACATGCAGAGAGGAAGCTGAGCAGATAGGCTGGAACAAGAGATGTGCAAAAGGAGAACCAGGTCCCCTTGGCACCATCCATCCCACTAGATACAGAGCTTGATGTGAACCCAGCCACAGGAACCCCCTTCCCCACTGCAGGGCTCTCGGTTTGTGGGATGGGGTGGGCTGGCAGCAACTGCAGCGTCCCAGGAGCAGGGCACATCAGGAGACTGAAAAAGCTGCCCACACCTCCAGCCTGGAAGTATGCTGAGATCCATGCAACTTCCCAGACACAGGGCATCTTCCAAAGTCTCAAAAGAAAGGCAAAACCCTTTAACTATTCTGTAAGTTACATCTCTTGCTTCCATTGCAGTAAAGAGATCGACACATCTCTGCATATGGGCTTTCAGTTCAGTTTCCATTTCCCTGCTTTTCCCTGTTTCTAATACAAAATACCCAGTCAAAATTAACCTGTTCTTCCTCACTTGTGCAGCTCTGACTAGTATACTTCCTTGAGATCTTCCTTTTCAGTTTTTCAATCTAATTTAATATTGAGTTCAAAATAAACAGAAAAACACTGGATTCCTGCAGATTAACTGACCAAGCATACACTTGGGATTATCCCCAGTTATTGTCCTCTCCTATACACTACTGCAGGTGTGCCGTGAAGCCCCAGTAACCACAAAGACTCCTTCCCTATACCTCACCCACTTCCTCAAAGCCTCTGTGCAGTTTCCTCTTTCTGGGGGAATCAGTGGTATCAGTTTGACCAGGCCTTGAAATCTTGTGCTCTACACATCTGAGGCCAAGCCCACTCTGAACACACCTTGTTCAAAAAAATCACTCCCCAATGAAGAAATGTAACTGGGAGCAGAGGCAGAAAACAATACTGGAACGTTACTGGGGCATGGGGAGAAACCCAAAGCAAGTTCAGAAGGATAAATACATAAACATAAAATATTCCAGAAGCATATATGGAACTACAAAGAACGGCAAAAGAAACATCAGGATAAAAGAAATAAAATGGGGTGTATGGCAGAAATCCCTGTATTACCAACACCATTTAGAATAGCTACTTTTTCACCTCACAGAAACCTCCCGCTTTGCTGTTTGTTTCTGTGAACAGTAGAACACTCAGAAGTTGAAGTGCCCTCTATCAGGTACATACTTGGGAAGTGCTTTCTTAATTTAAAACCCTGACAATTGTGCAAAAATTCTGTAAGAGAAGAATCTCCTCAAACCCAGCAAGTGGTTGGTACTGACTCTGTTGGGGGCTGATTCTTAAAAAACCCGAAATACAGAGAATGTACGAAAGATAATACATTCACACAGAATGGAACTTCTGGGAATGGGAAGACAGGAATGTGTTCATGTAAATGTATCACTTTTCTTACAAATAGCATTTTGGATGCAAGTAATTTTCTCAACATGGTCTTGTCTCCTTGTGCCCACACCGCAAGAGTACTCATGTGCTTCAAGTACATACTCCTTCCTTTCAAAGCCTTAACACACCACAGGCTTTCTTTACAGGTCAGAGGACTGTGACTAATTTTCTTCCAGAGCCCACTAACATCTCTCCTGAGCTGGACTACAGAGCAAACCAAGAAACACCCAGAGCACTGACTGCATCCTGTCCACTCCTGGGATGTGCTCTGCCCTCTGTCTAGGGGAAAGCTTCACGATACCTGCCCACAGACAACAAAGACCCACACTGTAGCTCAGTCTGCTCTCCTCTGCTAAAAAGGTATGAAAGGTAAACAAGAGCAAGAATACGCAGATAATTTACCTCCTCTTTTTAATCACAGAGCACAGAGATGTGCTTCCCCCTGCACAAGGTGCAACAGTCTACAGGACAAACTTGCCTTCGCTGCAATTTCAGAACTGAGGGATGAATTTCACACCATTCTATACCTACCTGTGAGAAGACACGCATGCAGAAGGAGAGAGAGGAGGCAGCTAGACTCAAGGTCTGTAATTCTCTCAGATATATTAAAAAAATTTAGAGAAGCCTAACATTCTGTAAAGATACAGGGTGGTACCCAAAACCCAAAACTGGTTAGGAAAATATCACTTACTTAGCTTTGCTCTTGGCCTCTGGTGGTTTTTTTGCAGCATGAAGAAGAGAAAAACAGAAGAAACGGTTATCATTTTATCTTGCTTCCTTTATATGTTGCATATAAAGATTAAGAGTTTTCCACTGCCTGACTTTGCAAAAGCTGCAGATAGATAGCGGAAAGAGATTTACTGTCACAATAAACACTGCTCATCCGTCCGTGAGCTGTCAGTTGCCTGCTCCTTCTGCCATCATACCACCTTTGTAGGTGTCTGTGCAAAAGTAGTGCCAGAATGACAGGCCGGACTTGCTGCAACCTCCACATGTTTTCAGTAAGTTTTCTGCTTCAGTGCTTAGTATGAGTTCTCTAGGTGAATGTGAAGTTAGGGCAGGTATGGACAACACTGCTGGTGGAAACTGCAGCCCCACTCTCCCCGACTTGCTCACACCCACTCCTGCTTCAGTTCCTGCCGTGGTGCCAAGGCAAAGGTTTGCTTCGCCAGGGGGTGAGCCAGGGCAGGGAGCTGTTCTCAGGTGAGCCTGACCTTCTCACAAGGCTGGTTTTCGGTCCCCCCGAGTTAACCCACCACACGGCACGAAAACAGGCGGAATTATTTCTCTGTCAGCTCGCCCCATTTAAAGTAATCATAAATCTACAGCATAAATGCAAAACCGCGCTAAATATTTTTTAGAAACGCTAATCTACATTGTGTCTGCGCAAGTCCCGTGCAGGTCACCCTGAGCTTCCCCCGGGGCTCGCCGAGAGAGGGGCAGGGCGGGGAAGGGCAGTGCAGGCAGCGCCGCCGCCGGGCCGCCCCCACGGCCGCCCCCGCCCGGCCCCGGCCCCGGCCCCGGTCCCGGCCCCGCTCCGCCCCCCACGGGCCACTCACGGGCCACCGCCGTCAGGAACATCGCGCCGGTGCCCCCCGAGCCGCCCCGGCTTCCCCCGCCCCTTCCGCCGCCCGAACCGCGTCCGGGGCGCGGGGCCGGGGCCGGGCCGGGGCGGAGCGGAGCGGGGCGTTCCCGCCCGCCCCGGGGCGGGCAGGGCGGCGCTGCCCGTGTCTGAGACTGTGCCGGGGCTGGGCAGCCGAGCCCAGCAAAGAGAGGGCCGAGTTCCGGCGGCTAGGAGGCCCAGTGGTATCCTGGGGTGCATCGAGAAGAGTGTGGGCGGCAGATTGAGGGAGGTGATCCTGCCCCTCTACTCAGCCCCAGCGAGGCCTCATTGGAGCGCTGTGTTCACTTCTGGGCTCCTCAGTACAAGAGAGACATGGAGCTCCTGGACAATGTCCAGTGGAGGGCCACAAAGGTCATTAGGGTCTGGAGCATCTCTCTTACGAGGAGAGATTGTGGGAGCTTGGCCTATTTAGTCCAGAGAAGACTGAGAGGGGATCTCATTAATACATATAAATACCTTAAAAGCGTTTGCCAAGAGGATCGTGCCAGACTCTTTTCAGTGGATGTCCAGCAACAAGGCAAGGAGTAATGAACATAAACTAAAATACAATAAGTTTCACCTCAGCGTGAGGAAGGACTTTGCATTGAGGGGGGCAAAGGGTGGTGAGGTAGAAAAGGCTGCCCAGGGAGGTAGTGGAGTATCCTTCCCTGAAGACATTCAAAACCCACCTGGATGTGTCACCTGCTCTGGGTGACCCTGCCTTGCCAAGGGGGTCGAACTGGATGATCTCCAAAAGCCCCTTCCGACGCTAACAATTCTGTGATTCTCTGAGCTCCCCACACAGATCGAGCCAGCCCTGTGCCCACAGCCTGTCCAGGTGTCTGGTGGTGGCTCACGGCAGCCAGGCCAGTGCAGAGGGGGCCGTGCCTGGCCCTAATGGCACCACAGGCTGGGCCTTCCGGCCAGCAGCACATCTGGGTCCTGCTCCACTGCATGGAATCATAGAGTAGTTTGGGTTGGAAGGGACCTTAAAGATCACGTCCTTCCAACCCTGCTGCCGTGGGCAGGGACACCTTCCTCTAGACCAGATTGCTCAGAGCCCCAACCACCTGCACATGGCCAGTTCACACTGAGCTGCTCATCAACCAACACCCTGAAGTCCTTCTCCTCAGGGCCGCTTTCAATCCATTCTCTCATCCTTTAGTGCATTTTAGGCACTGGAGTAGATTGCCCGGGGGGAGGGGTGGAGTCACTATCCCTGGAGATGTTTAAGAGGTGTCTGAATCTGGTGCTGGTTGATATAGTTAGTGATTTAGGGGCTACACTGGTAGTGCTGGGTTGACAGTTAGGCTTGATGATCTTAAAGGTCTCTTCCAACCTTGATGATTCTATGATCTGCTAACCTTTGCCTGCCTGAGTTCCCTTCCGTAGAAAGGGGGGTACTGCTATGGTGTCAAAGTCCTCAGGGCATTAGGAAACTAAACTTATCAGTATTTACAAGATACTGCGCATAAGCCATGGGCAGGGACCAAGGCAAGTTTTCATGTTACTTGTTATATAGTGAACTGTAAGTTATTATCTTCTAAAAAATTCACAGAAGGTCTGTGACTTCTCTTCCATCAAGTAGGTAAACTGTTAATGATGGAATTCAAGTCCTTGAATGTTTAGCAATTACTAAGGCAATAAAAATGTCAGCTTGACATATTTAGATGGAAAACAGGACTTAAAATGTATAATAACATGCAGTTAATTTTATATTCTGTGGCATGAAAACAAATGTCTGACCCTATAAAGACTGGAGCAAGACGACATCTCCAGGAAAGCATTGCTGCTTTTGTCAAGTGCTTGCTTGATATGTTGTTCCTTGTTTCAATTCAATTATTTCCAAATACTTCCTCTTAATGATACAACATTTCAATCTTTACTATTTGGCCTTCAGAAGTATAAATCTAGTAGTTACATAATCTGCCCATGAATATCAGAGTGAGAACTTGAAAACATTCAGCATGATAAAATGTGAGTGCTGCAAGACTCCTTCTCTTTGATCTGTGTTATTGCCTCAGTCAGAGCACAGACTGAAATGGAATGGGATTGCCAACCTCCTGACTTCACTGCCAGGAATATAAATCAACATTAAAGATGATTTTTAAATGAAATAGCAAGTTAAACATTTGTAGAAACACATCATCAAATAGAGGTTATACTGCCTCTTTTTAAACCTCTTGCCTGTTGGCAAAAAGAAAACTGTTCCAGTGACATTTTCTCTGCTCTGCTGTGACAAGGGCTGCATAAATATAGACTGTGGATTAGAATAGACTTCAGCAATCTTCAGCTTCCTTTCTAAGCAGCCTCTTCTGCAGACAATTTTCCACAGCTATGGGTAAAAACCAGAGAGTCTAAAACTGGTATGTGTGGCAAGGTGGTGACAGTATAGCATGCTTCTGATGATGGCAGCAGTCATAGCTGACCGTGAGGCAAAGTCAGCCTGGCTGGAGCAAAGGAGAGAGAGTCAGAATTTCGGACCCCAGTTTTGATACAGATTTTCCATGTGGTCTAGGATAAGTTGTGTACTTTGAGATCTTTGATGGCATGTGCAATGCAAATGCAGATCTTTCCTTCAACTTTGCCTAGAGAAAGCAAGGAGTGCTTCTCTGGGTGCTTGCTTAAAGAGAAGTCACTCATGACACCAGAGAAGTTGCTGGTGCTAAACTGATCAGTGTCACTCAGAATCAAACATAGTGTGGGTTTTAATCTAGCTAGAAAAACACCAATTTCTCATAATAGAATCTTTACCCTTTTATGCTTTACATTCTAGGCTGAGCCCTCTTTCACCTTCAGGAAGTGAGGGGAAGGCTGCTCCCTGCCAAGAAAGTGCAGTCAGGTTTCTGGCACACACTGGGCAGGCAGAGGGCTGTTGGCAGGAGTGATGCTTCTTCAAGTGCACATGGCGCCTCCAGTCAGTCATCGCTTGAAAAAGTCACAGAAGAGCAGAGAGGGGCAGCAGATTAAATGTTTGCAAGGTAAATATCCTCTTGGCACTAGACCTTCTACATGAGTTACTGTCAATTAATGCATAAAAAAGCCAATGTTGGAAACAAGAGAATAACACTAAAGCCTGGGAAAAGCTCCACGTGTCCTTCCTGGTTTCCCACAGAAAAACAAGTGAACAGTTAACTAAGCCAAAAAACGCACACAGCTCGGTGGACATAGTTTTTAAACAGACATGCTATTTTTTCCTCTCTTCTTGCTTTCCCTTTCTCAGCGTGTTACCACTTAGCAGGGTTCTGCTGTCCACAGTGTTAAACAAACACTCAGGGGCACTCTTGTGCAAACCACTCATCCCAGATAACAGACAGATTTTTACATTCCTTCTGCATATCTGAATCCATTATTCCAAGAAGGCCCATAAGAAAGTGGGCATTAGCTTAATGCAGCTCTGAAAGAGGAACTGTTCAGGTCAGGAGAGCGGGAATGATGGAAAGAGCCATCTGAATTGATAAATTACTTTAAGCCAGTGACCAAATCCATGTCAGCTGCTGCTGCTGTTTGAAGTGAGCTGGTGATGGCCTTTATCCTAGATCTCAGGGGTGTCCATGGCACAGCATCAATTTATTTGCTGGTAACCTTGTTAGAAAAGGTGGAAAAGCAATGGGCTTGGATGGTTCCTTTCTTACCTCAAGAGCTTAGTCCCCCCAGATCAGATGTGGAGCACTCTGGTGTGGCAGGTTAAGGCACAGCTCTGTTTTCGGGGATTTACCTGTACCCTGCTTATTCCTTCCATAGCACTGGTCTCTGGATCTGTTCCTGGAGCTCCTTTCCCTGTCACTGACGTCATTCATATGTAAGGAGGGAAGAACAAAGACAGCACTCGCCTGTTTCTTGTGTGATTTTTCAATACCCATTTCCCAATCCCAACGTCCAAAGTAACAACATCCTTTCAAACCGCCCCCTCTTGAAATGCCACAGTAGTCAAACAGCTGCAAATCAGAACACCTTGTAAACAAGTGACTGAAATCCCGTGGGATGCCCGAGGGCTTGGGCACGTCTCAGAGTGATTATAGTTCCTGCTATACAAATTGGAGTCCATGTAGCACAGTTTGTGCCAACTCTGAGCTCTTGCTTTTTATTTTTAGTCCTGTTTGTCGAGGGGTTCTCATAATGAAAAGAATGACGTTTGGTATCAGTGACACACAGATAAAATTAGATAGTAGCCAGAAGTGATCCTACGACTAATCTTCCCCACTGAGGCTTTTTCCACGAGCTTTGGGATCCTGTAGGCCTCAAGGACAGCTTTTCTCTGGGTGAATTTCACTTCCCATCAGCAGGCAGCTGAAAAATTGGACTCGCATGGGATGTATATGCAAAAGAAATGAATGTCATTGTCATTGCGTATGCCAACAGCTGGGACCATCTGGGACACTAAAGACAACAGTGTCTAGATGGGTACAGCTGATTGAATGTTGTTTTTAGCAAGCCTTGAAACCTTCTTCCCTTTTTGGGGCAACAAAACAAGGCTTTTGTCTTCCATGCATGGAGAGTTTTGTACTCAGAGCAGCTTAAGTCATTATCAGGGCTCAGTCCTTGGAGTAATTAGTCCCCCAGACATAAGACACCCGCACTGATGCTGAAGATACTATTCCTTTCTTTGGAAGAAGCTGCCTAGGGGAAAGAACAAGATAGAAGGTGCATTAGATTACATCTCTAAAGTAGATCTTCTCTCAGGAGAGCAGGATCAGTTCTCATTTGTTTTGGCTTTTGATTTTCCCCCTTCTAAACTTTGGATTGCTTTCATTTTTACTACACTGTAAAATAGGAAAATACAAGAGGTTAACTGGTCAGCAGATGCTCTCTATTGCTTAGAAATAATGAAGGTACACTAGGCAGTGTACCTTCAAAGGAAGGTGCATAGGACAAAGGGATTTATCTGTGGTATTATGGCAAAGAAAGAGTGTATCAAAATCAAAGTGGTGAACCTGTAAGGCCAGGTACTTTTAAGCAGGTAGGTAAAGGCAAACAGAGTGGATAATTATGTAATGTGAACATGGTGTGACGCAGATAAGGGATGATTTTTTTTCCTCCTGTAGCTTGTTGGA